GGTTGTATTAATGGGGTTTCATTTAGGGTTGGTTGTATTAATGTGGTTTCATTTAGGGTTGGTTGTATTAATGTGGTTTCATTTAGGGTTGGTTGTATTAATGGGGTTTCATTTAGGGTTGGTTGTATTAATGGGGGGTTGTATTTAGGGTTGGTTGTATTAATGGGCTTTGTATTTAGGGTTGGTTGTATTAATGTGGTTTCATTTAGGGTTGGTTGTATTAATGTGCTTTGTATTTAGGGTTGGTTGTATTAATGGGGGGTTGTATTTAGTGTTGGTAGTATTAATGGGGGTTGTATTTAGGGTTGGTTGTATTAATGGGGGGTTGTATTTAGGGTTGGTTGTATTAATGGGGTTTCATTTAGGGTTGGTTGTATTAATGGGCTTTGTATTTAGGGTTGGTTGTATTAATGGGGGTTGTATTTATGGTTGGTTGTATTAATGGGGTTTCATTTAGGGTTGGTTGTATTAATGTGCTTTGTATTTAGGGTTGGTTGTATTAATGGGGGGTTGTATTTAGGGTTGGTTGTATTTATGGGCTTTGTATTTAGGGTTGGTTGTATTAATGGGGGGGTTGTATTTAGGGTTGGTTGTATTAATGTGCTTTGTATTTAGGGTTGGTTGTATTAATGGGCTTTGTATTTAGGGTTGGTTGTATTAATGGACTTTGTATTTAGGGTTGGTTGTATAAATGCAATGGTGAAAAAAGACCACGCAAAGGACTGCTATTCTGCAGATATTTAGCTGGAATTCTGTAAATATGGTGCCACATATCAGCCATGATAGATGATATGTTTAGTCCATATCTGTGTACTCTGTATTATTAATAATTCTGAAGCCTTTGCAGGTTGTATATGTTTAGGTATCCTTTTTTTCTATAGGCTATAAATTGTAATTATAAAGCCACTCAGGGCCGCTGTTGATAGTTCTCCTAAAGAAAATTGGAGTGGTAAGATGTTGCCAGAGTCTTAGAGCAAGCCCGACAAGATCAATAAGAATGTGAAAAGCTCACGACATCTGCATCGTAGGAAACTCGCATGATTAAGAGTCTGGCAAAGTCTTAACCTCCAACTTTCAATGAGAATTTCCAAATATAAACTATTTGTTTTTTTTCCTGCAAACATTTTATTTTAAATTGCAAGACTCCTTTTAGTATTGCCTGGTATTTATTGGGGTTTCTATGTAATCATTCTCTAATAACAGAAAAGCTGATATAGGGGGATTTTGTGAATCCAGGACTTTTAATGGACTAATGCAGTCACTTTCTATTTGTATATTTGATAGAAATGGCAGAACACTACAATGTGTGTATGCCACTTCTGGTTTTCCATGTTCTTATTACAATAGTTCTTATTAAAGGACCACCCTCAGGGTCCCCCTCCCACCCGGCTCTGGAAGGGGGAAAGGGGTTAAAACTTACCTTTTTCCAGCGCTGGGTGGAGAGCTCTCCTCCTCCGATCCTCCTCCGTTCCTCCTCCTGGGCTGAATGCGCACGCGCGGCAAGAGCTGCGCGCGCATTCAGCCGGTCACATAGGAAAGCATTCATAATGCTTTCCTATGGACGCTGGCGTGCTCTCACTGTGAAAATCATAGTGAGAAGCACGCAAGCACCTCTAGTGGCTGTCAATGAGACAGCCGCTAGAGGAAATAAGGGAAGGCTTAACCCATTCATAAACATAGCAGTTTCTCTGAAACTGCTATGTTTATGAAAAAATGGGTTAAACCTAGCTGGACCAGGCACCCAGACCACTTCATTAAGCTGAAGTGGTTTGGGTGCCTAGAGTGGTCCTTTAATATATGTGTGCACTGAATTGAATTTTGAGGCCTCTTATTTTCTAGTTTTGAATAGACGGGGGCGGGAGGGGGAAGACACTAAGAAAAACATGGTAACAAAAGCTGACACATGTCGGCAAATATGTTCTAGATAGAAAGGTAGCACAGAAAAAAAGGATTATTAAGTGTTCTTGCATAGCAAGACCACTTAATGTTATCTCACATATATATTATTATTAAGTGTTCTTGCATAGCAAGACCACTTAATGTTATCTCACATATATATTCTTATTCTTATTATAGCCAAATTTGCCACCCTAACTCCTCCCACAGTTTTTACACTTCATAGACAAAAATTTACCAAAACGTGCAGATTGTTCCCGATCGGATTGCTATTACTTTGTGGAACGTTTCGCCGAATGGTTCACGGAATATCGTCGTTCTTGTGGCGAAATTTGTCCCATAGGAATGAATGGCAAAGCTAGAGTGGGAGCTGGCAAAACTGGCCTTGATTTCCTAGGCACCGCACGCCCTC